TAACCCCCAACTAAGACAACAAATCAAAAATGTAAAAAGAGAAATTCTCCCTATTTCTTTTAAGACCCTTCTATTTTTGGCCGCGTTTTGAGTCCTGCTGCTGGGGCTAGCTGCCATACTCCTACAGGAGGATCTGGGGCATGCCAGAGTGCCTTAACTAGCTGCCTAGCTCTCACAGATGGGTCTGGGACATGCCAGGACACCTCCTTCCCTCCAGAGTTTCTCGTGAGGCTCTGAGAGCACATAATTTTGAAAACTGTTTCAGATGCATCTGATTTAACCTCCCTGGCACTAAGCTGGGCGTGTGAAAATGCCCAGTTGGAAGCAGTGCTATGACCCCCATGGTGGTTACTAGATGTGAGGGCATTTGGAATTCTAAATCACGTACGTACTGCTGATCTCAGTGTAGCCTCTGGGTTTGCATTTGGATAGCAGTCTCGAGTGGACCTTCTGCAGTGCACACCTCCTTTGTCATAAATAACGGTTAGCAAACATGTGTGATGGTTGGTTTTGTTACTTTTAAAGCAGGCACCGAAATTGTAGCTCGGGGCTGTTATTTTTAATATACAACCCTGGCAGCCAAGACACTTATTGGATTGTTTGTTTCTGTTTGGCTTGGCTTAGTCATCAACCCTTGAACTGAAATGGGGATTAAGTCACTGCAGCCCGCTTAATGCAGCCTTAGTTATGAGGTCTTTGCTTTTAATGCAAGCAATATTATCCTTTCATCTTCTACCCCGGGGCCGGGCTCTTCTTCATAGATGACAGATGGTGGCATAGTGTGCTTCAAATCCAGTACCTTCTGGTTTGGGAGGGGGGCACTTGAGGTCATGTAAATGGTTCTAGAAGGACTCTACCTACCGCCTGTCAAGCTTCCTTCTGTGGAAACTCCAGATTATGTAAAGATGCTGCCTCAGAAGCAGGTTTGGAGGTGACACTGCCCTGGTGTGGGGGCAGGAGGTTAGACTTTGACAGTAATGTGGATATTGGCGGGTGCCCTTAATCTTCCTTCCTGGTGTCCTCGAGGCCGGAGGTACATATACACGGAGCTTGTAACTACCCTTGGCTTACCGTATGCTCTGGCGCGGCAATGCGACATTGCCTTGACCACAGCAGCACTTTTACCTCAGTGTTTCATTTGTTTGGTCGTTTGGAGAGAAAGTCTTACCGTGCAGCCATAGCTGGCTTGGAACTTGCTATGTAGACCAGGCTGGCCCTGAACTTGCATCGGTTCTCCTGCCTCTGCCTCCCGAATCTATGATGACTGGTGTGTGCTACCATGCCTAGCTTACTCGAACATTTTAAATCTCAAGATCAACACGGTTATTAGTAGATTCCAGTCGGCTCCCAAATCCTGGGAACATACTAGAAATGGGTATCTCCTTGTTGTTGACCTACTCTTTAAAATGATGGGCTCAGTATTCTGTCGGCACTGGAGACATCGCTTTGCTGAGACAACTCAGCGATGTCCCAAATGTAAGTCCGTCTCTCAGCTTGCCGTTCCTTCCACCAGGTACGAGTTTATTAAGTAATAGGGGGTGCTTCAGTAGCACGATTCATGGGGGAAATTCTCGGGGCAAGGGCTTCTAGACTATATATATTTCCATAAATACCTGAAGAATCAAAAGCTCATCGTGTACGTGTAGGCAAAAAACCCAAAATCCCAAGTGGTCCATGCTAACATGCTAACGTGCTATTTGTTGTCTTTCAAGAAGCCTTTAATCCTCTGTGGAGTGAATGATGTGTCCACTTAAGAACTATTCCTGGGCCAGTGAGATGGATCAGTAGGGTCAAAGAACTGGGTACCAAGCTTGATAAACCTGAGTTCAGTCCCTCATTCATGCACGATAGAAGGAAAGAACTGATTCACATGAGTTCTCTGACTTCCACACGTGTGCTCTGACGTGTACACACACACAGACACACACGAACACATGGAGTGGGGTGGGGGGAGAGGGCGACACATACACACAGAGGGGAGGGAGGGAGAGTTTGGAAAGAAAACTATTACCACCAAGAGCCTTCTACACCCTTTTAGTACATCTAGTTGGTTTATACGTATGTGCTACATTTTGACCAGCTGGAAGGTGCCATTGTGGGCCCAGGGAGAGGCCACGCCAAAGTTCACCCTCAGGGAAACCCATTCCGTAATAACCAGGCTCAACTTTTGAACCCTTTTGAAAATCCGGTAACCCGGTATTCTAACGGCAGCCTGCTGGTATGAATCGTATCCCGCAGGCAAGCCTGTGACATCGGCACGAGCCCAGTGCTCCAGAAGGGTTCTTTCCATAGACAGCCGAGCGGGACCTCATGGACTGATGGGATTTGGGAAGCAGTGAGATGTAAGAATGCCTTCTAGAGGCAGAGCATGGGGGCAGAGTGTGAGCCGGGAGAGTATGGGAATCCTGTGGAGAGGGACGGGAGCTCAGTGTAACCAGAATGAAGATCTAGGGAGACTGATCTGCCCTTGGGGGGGGGCTGGAAAGTGGGGGCTGTGTCGTGGAGGGCTGAGTGTGAACCAGGGAGTCTGCCCTTCCCTGGATAAACAGAAAGCAACTGGAGTGTGTTCTGAGCAGTTGGATACCTTCATAGAAATGGTGTTTATAAGCCGGGCATTGGTGGTGCATGCCTTTAACCCCAGCACTCAGGAGGCAGAGGCTCCAAAACAATACAGAGGAACCCTGTCTTGAAAAAACCCAAAAGAAAAATAAATAAATAGATGGTGTTTTTTTCACCAAGATACCAGAAGAATTATTGGGGGACATACTAAAATACCTTACCTTGCCTCCGAAACCTCTTGAGCCAGCCCCCACAGTTCAAATCCTCCGTGTGCCTACTGTGTGGCCCATTACACAGTACTTAAAGCATTCCACTGCTCTCCAAACCCAAAGAACCAAAGTCCACGTTCCTCCAAACAAAAACCTGGTCAGGCCTATCACAGCAATACCCCAGTCCCCGGTACCAACTTTTGTCTTAGTTAGGGTTTCTATTGCTGCGAAGAGACACCGTGACCACACCAACTCTTACAAAGGAAAACATTTTATTGGGGTGGCTTATAGTTGAGAGGTTTAGTCCATTATCATGGTGAACTATAACTACATGCATGCAGGCAGACGTGGTGCCGGAGAAGGAGCTGAGAATTTTACATCTTGGCCCAAAGGCAACAGGAAGTGAACTGGGACCCTGGGTGTGACTTGAGCATGTATGTGAGACGTCAAAGCCCACCCCACAGTGACACACTTCCTCCAACCAGGCCACGCCTACTGCAACAAAGCCACGCCTCTTGGTAGTGCCTCTCCCTGTGAGATTATGGGGGCCAGTTACCTTCAAGCCGCTGCAGCTTGCTTCTGACACAGGTTGATTTGGCAGCTCTGTGGGGTGTCATTGGGGACAAACAGGTCCTTTATCTCATTATAAAATGACTGAATTTGGATGTCATAAATCAGTTTTCCCAGGCTCCACTTATGTTCTTAGGGTGCTGAAAAAAATGGGGTGTGACATCCCCCAGAATTCCTCCCAGCAGGTTCCAGTTCGCAATGTAAATCAACAACTTCAGCTCAGCGTGCTAACAAGAAGTCTGACTTTTAAATTGTTGAGTATGGCTGATTAAATTAATTCCAGAGACTAAACTTTAGATCTTCAAAGGGCATGTTTTCGCTTGGGGTACAGCATTATCGCGGCTGAATTAGAGGCTTAGAGCTCTGTGAGCTTTGAGTTATAGTATTTTTGTCCTGACAGACATTGTTTTGAAAATTCGACTTAATTTTTCCAGCCAATCCAGAAGGGTTCAGAGCCCTTCCAATCCTCCCTACAGCCCTTACTTGGGGCTCTCCTCCCCATTCTCTCATGGCAGCCCTATGACCATCAATACTCAACTCATCCCAAATCATCACTAAAATGTTGCCTGTCCCTTGCTAAGAGTACCATTTTAATCCCAGTGCTGGGCAAGCCAAGGCACGCAGATCCCCTGGGGGCTCACTGCCCTGCCACGCCCATCTGCTTGAGGAGTTTAAGGGCCACAAGAGACTGTCTAAAAACATACAGACTAATAAAGTAGCCGTCACAAAGGAACATCAGCAGGGGTTTTCCTCTGGCCTCCCTATGCATGTGTGCACATGTACCTGCACACACATGTCATCTGTGTACACAAAACACATAATTTGTCTGTAAATGTTTATGGAAGCACTATTCAGAAGAGCAAAAATGCTTGAAATGGCTCAGGATTCATAAAGTAGTGAATCGATAAACAGAATGTTATATACACACAGTGGTTTAATATTTAGCAATAAAAACAATGAAGCCTTGATATGCGCTACTATAGGGATGGAGCTTGCTTAGTGAAACTAGAAACTAATGTCCTGTGTCTTATGAACTCCATGTCTAGGAAATACCCAGAATAGAAACAGTAAGGAGACCAGGGAGGGAGGAATAGGGATCGTCTGTCAATATAATCAATGCAAAGCATCTTTTGTGGCAATAGCTGTGTTCCGGAGTTATATGGTAACAAAGGTTTCACAACTTTGTGAGACCAGTAAAATCCACTGAGGACCCTTTGAAACAAGCTAAGATTGTACTTAAGATTGTACGGTGGCATATGACCTCTAGCTCAGAAACAAAGGGGGGAGGTAAGATGAATTGACTGCATAATAGAAGGTTTACCAAGGAATCTGGCTCATGGGCATCTATAGAGGCTCATGCATGTCCTGTGGGTTGCCTATGAATTTACATAAATTTGTTTACATCTGTTTAATTTACGGTTCAGCTATATAAACCATCAGGGATGGGGTTGAGTCTCAGGGCACTGCGGTGACCGATCACAGCTCGTCAGCTCATCTGGTAGTGTGATTGGGTGCTCAGTATATGGAAACAGGTATTTGTAGTCTACATTTCCCTCCAAGGAACATATTCCTTGCTTACTCATTGATGTAGAAAAGAAACGCAACTTGTCATATAAACGGTACAGCCATTTTTTTTCAATGAAGAATGGAAAACTACTGAACTAGGTTGTTTTATTTGGATGAGTTTACTGCTGGTCTCGAAGCCTGTATATTCTGGGGAAAGGGCTAGAAGGGCCGGGAAACTGTGACTCTCTTGCTGACTCATAGGTCACTAATAATTGAGCTAACGGGCTGGACAGCCGGCCGGAGGACAAAGTGATCAGAAGGGGGTTTTGTCAAAATGCTGACTTCTTGTTCCCCGTCAGAGTCGCAGTCCCGTTTTCCCAGGCTTGGGGGTTAAGAAACCCCAACCCGAGGTTATGGCTGCACTTAAGCTGAGCTGTGCAGTTTCCCACATTCAGTGTCCTGAAGGCAGTTTACCGAACTCACCATCAAGGCCCCAAACACACATTCAGCACTTTGTGCCAATTCAGGAGTCAGATGGTGTAAGCTGCACCAACACCCGGTCTGGGGACATTTTTATTCCGCTCCAATCGTAGCGGAACCAGAAGCCTTTAATGTTTTTTAAGGGACTTGGTTTCCTCGGATGTACCAGAGTTTGAGGATGTCACTTCTGGGGCCACCGGGGCAGTGCTGGGCCTGCTGGGGACAGAAAGCAGGGAGGCAGTGCTCCTTTCGGACAGAAAGCTAGGAGGCAGTGCTCCTTTCGGAGTCATCCCGAAGTCATGGGCGTGCCCTGCCATCTGCTCATTGAGACGCCTTAGTGGAGGGTTTCCTCTGTGCCTCTGTCTCCTCCCTGACAAAGCAAAGACATGAAAGCGTAAACGAGCCGACCCAGTTCTGGCAGTTACATACGATGTCACGGAATGGCCCATGGGATGACGGTAGAAGGTAAAATACAGCATAAATAAAACTTTGGTGGGCTTCTTTGTTTTAACCCAGAAAATGTACAGATGTACAGATAGACTGTTCTGGTTAGTTTTTGTCCACCTGACACAAACCTGGACGTAACTGGGAAGAAGGAATCTCGGTTGAGAAATTGCCTTCATCAGACTGGTCCGTAGAAAAGTGTGTGAGACATTTTCTTGATGAGCGATTGACGTGGTGTGCTAGGGAACAGCCTGATAGATTGGTGTTTCCACGGGGCAGTTGGTCCTGGATAAGAAAGCAAGGTTATAAATCTATGAAGAGCAAACCAATAAATAAATAGTACTCCTCAAAAAAAAAATCAAAGTACGGAGAGGATGGGGAATAGAGGGGCAATCTGGAAGGTGCTCAGCATGGTCATTGTTACTGCCATGATTCGGAGCCTGGGAAGGTACCCGTGTGGGCAGAGGGGTGTGGTTGAGTAGACACAGAACCCTCCTCACCACAGCTGGAAATATCACAGTGACAATACCCCAAAATAAGGGCTCAGATCACACAGGAAAGCATGGGGAAGTCCGGGTGTGCACCTTGCTGTGTAGGAGTCTCCAGTTTTGCCGCACTTGGCTTTGGCATTTTAAAAAATGAGGTAACATGGTTGGATCCCTTAGCAGGACCCTCCTGGTACGTCTACAGTCTCTCCTCTCCAGAAGCTATTACTGTCTTGAATCTGGTGTTACCGCTGCCAGGTTCCTAAAGTGTTCCCGTCCGTGTGCCAGTCAGCAAATACTGTGTGTCAAAGGTTTGTGTGATGTTACTCCTGAGTAAGAGCACACACATCTTTCTCCCCCACCCCGTCTTCTTCCTCCTGTCTTTCAGATAATTATGTCCATACATGTTTCTCTAGTCCATTCCTGGCCCCTCCATCCCCTTTCCCCTCCCCCTCCTCCTCCCCCTTCCCCCTCCCTCTTCCCCTCCTCCTCCCCCTTCCCCCTCCCTCTTCCCCTCCTCCTCCCCCTTCCCCCTCCCTCTTCCCCTCCTCCTCCCCCTTCCCCCTCCCTCTTCCCCTCCTCCTCCCCCTTCCCCCTCCCTCTTCCCCCTTCCCCCTCCCTCTTCCCCCTTCCCCCTCCCTCTTCCCCCTTCCCCCTCCCTCTTCCCCTCCCCTTGTTCCCCTTCTTCCCCTCCCCTTCCCTCCTCCCTCCTTCCCTTTTAGTTTTTAAGGAATAGGTCTTTTCACTATGTTATCTGGTCTGGCCCAGGCTCCAGCGATCCTCTGGCTCCAGCCTCCGGAGAAGTTGGAGGATAAGCACACCACCGGGCCTGGTTTGTCCTTTTCTTTGCTGCCTGTGGTGCTTCCGACTGTGGCAGAATCTGTCTGTTCTTGCTGCTAATGCGCACTTAGAGTCACTATCGCTCCGTGACTCACTGAACAGTCTTACCCGTGTCCTCTGAGGGCAGGGAGAGCAGGCCAAGTGGGGACCACTGGGGGCTTTGGGTTTACGGCCTCCCCTTTTCACCAGCTCTTCAGAATTGGCCCTCTGAAGTGCATGTGTGGGTTTACCTTACCCACGGTGCGAAAGCATGCTCAATTCCCCACGAAACCAGCACCAGCCGCATCAGGCCTGAGCATGGAGCGGCACCTCACTCCGGTTTTAATCGGCATCTCCCCAGTTGCCGAAGAGCCTGGACGACACTCTTCTGCGTAACATCACACACGCCAGCTCTGTGACGTTATTCCCAGGGAGATGTGAGCTAATGTCACCACACGCAGGGGATCTACCAACCAAAGCTCGGATGCCACCACAGTCCAGCCTGTTGAATCAACAAGGTTTGCTTATTGGGGTTTACTTGTAGGAATGTGGGCGAGGGTTACTTACAGGGGCAGAAATGGCTCAAGGACAGCTGCATCACCAAAGCCCACCCCAGCGTGGGCGGAGTCCGGTGAAAGCTGGAATCCTGGAGCACACTGCACAGCCTGCAGGCAGCTCCACAGGTTGCAGAGGGTCCTTCCCAGGTAGCTCAGATGGCCTGAGCCTCTTCAGGCAGCATGACTCTGCCTCTTCCACAAGGCTCAGCATGACTGAGAGTCTCTCTGCATTCGGTATGGCTTACGTGTCCCGAGGACAGGAGATCCTGCTGAATTTGTTCAGTTTCCAGGACTTCCTGATGCTATCGAGTTGTGTGCTTCCTGAGTTTAGTGTGTGTCCCTGCTGAGTGGAATGGGCCACTTCTGCTTAGAGCATTCTCTTGCTGCACTCCCTGCTAACTCCCTGCATCTTAAGGAGCTTGCTTCCAAGGTGGACATTTTGTGTCAGAGGAGATGGCGATACACATTTCCCTGCGTTTATGCTTGTTGGTTTTCCCTCTGTGTAAATATATAAATAGGTCATATTTGTATCTTTACACATTTCCCCGCGGGTTTCTTTGTCATTTAAAAAATGGGTAGCACCAGCAAGAAGGCACAGTGGGTTAAAGGTACGCGCTGCTAAGCTTGCCAGCCTGCATTCAGTCCACTGCACGGCTGGGCAGGAGGAGAAAACTGACTCCTGCGAGTTGTCCTCTGGCCTCCACACATATGCCCTGGCACACACATGTCCCACCCCCACCCCCATGTATGTGCGTGTGCAAGCACGCACACACACACACAGAAGCTCACAAATAAAAAATGTAAACATAATTTTAAAAATTAACTTTTAGATGTTTGTAAATTCTGGATACCAGCTCTTTTTGTCAGTTATATGTCTGACACACCTTCTAATTTACTTTCTGGTGGGAGGTTTTTTTTTTAACATAAATTTTAAATTTTAATGTAGTCAGTGTGGTTTGAAAGTTTTTTTTTCCTTTATGATTAGAACTGTTTGGCCCCTACTAAAAAATATTCTTTACAGTGAGGCCATTAAAGCCTTTTTATATTGTATAATTTTGTGTTTCTTCTGGGTTTTTTTTTTTGAGGGGACAAGGTCTCATGTTGCCTATGCTGGCCTCCAACTCACTATTTAGCTGGGGGTGAACTTGAACTCCCAAAGCTCTTGCTTCCCAGTGCTGTGAGCACAGATGTGTACGGCTCCACTCTGGCTTGGTTTTCTGCATTAAAAATTTAACTCCGCTTGTAACTTATTAACACCATATAATTGATAATTAAAACCATTTCCAAAGTGTGGGTGTCTGAGGGAACACTTTTTACATTTGTTCTAGGTGGTCTACACTCATATCTGACTTTAGAAATATTCACTGAGCCACCAAGGTGTCTCAAAGAATTCCCGAGGGGATCCCTAGTTCTCACAAAATGGCGAGAGAAGCGATGACTTATAGTTGTTCTGTAACTTCCACACTGGCACTGTGGCATGTGCACGCTTGAGCACACACACACACACACACACACACACACACACACACACACACATATACACATAGAGGGAGAGAGGAAGAGGGAAGAGAGAGAGAGAGAGAGAGAGAGAGAGAGAGAGAGAGAGAGAGGGGGGAAATTAAATATTGTGTCAGAACACAATAGAGTGGCTGGAAAGAAGACTCGGTGGTTAAGAGCCCTGGATGCTCTTCCAGAGGATTTGGGTTTGACTCCCAGCACCCACATGGCAGCTCACAATGGTCTGTGACTCCTGTTCCAGAGCATCTCATGCCCTCTTCTGGCCTTTGCAGACACTGCATAAATAAATAAATAAATAAATAAATAAACAAATAAACAAACAAACAGATAAATAACCACACACACACACATACATACACACACACACACACACACACACACGCACACACAAACCTAACATCAAACCCAAAGAACAAAAAATAAAGTTCAAAAGCCAAATGCAGACTTTCGTATTGTCACTTGAAGATTTATCTTGCTTTCGAAGTAAAACTGTTTTTGTCTTGGTGAGGTCTTTCTTGTTGTCTAGGCAGTGACTGTGTTTATCTCAGGTGCTGGCAGACTGGACGGAGAAAGGAAGTCAGGATCCTTCTGGCTTGCTTAGACTCTGATGTGCGCCAGCCCACCCATGGGAGGTAAAGATTTGACGCTGAAATCTGGGGACCTTGCAGAACTTCGAGGGTTTGTTTCTTGCCTTTCTTTATATGATTTCATACTTAACGTGTTCTGCCAAGGGGACAGAGTTGGCCCTCTGTAGCTCACAGAGCCTTTGGCAAAACGAAGGCCTTTTGTGGTAATTCAGAAAACAGCTTTCTGTGTACCCATAACAGCTGCTTTGTTTTGTAGCAACCCCCAGTCTCTGGGTCCCAGCTCTCCAGAACATTTTTGCAAATCATGAAGTCATACGCTTCATCGTCATTAGTTCATAGAAATGTGGGATGCACCAGGAAGATGATGCATTGGCCTTTATGGCTGGCATCTCACCAGCCTTGCTGAGCCTTCCTTCCCCAACCAGATCATCTCAGCAGTAGCTGCCTTGTGTTCCTCCAGGAGAGACCAGGACCAGGCTCTCTGCACCGCCTTGAACTCCCTTTGCTTTCTCTTCATGTATGTAGGGCATCTGCATGCGTGCTGCGGCATGTGCGCCTCTGGAAGCCAGATGTCATTCCCCTGCCACGTTGTACCTTAATGTTTGAGAAAGAGTCTCTCACCGAGCCTGAGGCTCACTGGTTGGCTAGGCTGGTTAGTGGTGAGCCTAGAGGTGGTCCTGCCATTGCCTTCTAGCGCTGGGATCCCATGAGCGTTCTGCTTGTCATAAGCTGGGATCCAGACGCAGCTCTTCTTGCTTACATAATAAATGCTGTCCCCACTGGGCCACCTCCTAGCCCCGGTGTTCTTTAGTGTGATGATCTACTTTGGGTGTGTGCCGTGCTTGCTAGGCAGGCCTGCCTTTATCAACAGCAGCATCGTATTTGTGGTTTGGATGGTCTGCGTGGTTTTGTTTTTCCAATTCTTCATTCCCCTTTACTATATTCTTAGGTGTTTTCATTTGACTTTGTGTTGTAAGAATTAGGCTGCAGGGATCACACTTGTGCACACACACACCATAGGCCTGTTTCTGCCAGTCTACCAAGCGAGTAAATTGTTAGGAGCGATATTTGTGACAATTTCCAGATTGCAGGCCTCTTCGATTCTGAAGGCTACTGAGGAGTATGAAAATCAGGGCCTTAAAAATGTTGCATTTCAAGCTCAGCTGGTGAAGTGGATACTTAGAAGTCTGAGGGCCCGAGGGGCCTGAGTTCAATCCCCAGGATTCACTGAAAGTTGTATCAGCTAGCATATAATCCCAGCACTGGGACTGTGGAGACAGGCAGACCCCTGGGACTTGCTGGATAGCCAGCCACAGTTAACTGTAAACCCCAGGTCCCACTCCTGGCTGTCAGTTTTCCTGCATCCATGTTGGCCCACTCACACCTGCTGTAATGTCAGCTTCAGGAGGATCTGGTGTCCCTGATTTCCATGGAAACCTTCCCACCTCACCCCCTCCACACACCCACTTAATTTCAAATAATAGTAAAACTATATAGTTCTTAAAAAGAGAAATGAAAGAATAGACATTTTTCCCCCGAATCAGGATTATTGAAATAGGTATTGCCTCAGGGTTTCTATCGCTGTGAAGAGACACCATGACCACGGTAAAGAAAACGTTTAATTGTG